TTGTCTTTGTGTGGATATAGCCTCTATCTTCTACCAATTTGTTGTTGTGTCCAATGTTTGCTTGGACACATGTCTATAACATGTGACATGTTTAATTATGGTCATTGAGGAAAATGGGATAGATCCTATAGTTTTTTTGTGAGGCAAAAAATACATGATCACCATCAAACTGCTGGAAATGTGAAAGATCAAAAATAAATATGTACTGTATCTCTCATTAAGGATGTACCGATCCAGATTTTTTGTGATCCAATCCGATTCCGATATTCTTAAATATTGTTTTGCCAATACCGATCCAATACCAATCAAATTTTTTCTAATATTTTCAAAGCATTAAAAATTTTGCAACCAGTATTACTTTAAAATGTTTTTTTTTATTTTTTATTATGACTTGATCAAAAATATTGTTTGGCTTTTGCTTAACAGACCTACTGAATTAGGTCATAGGTGAGAATCAAATCAGTATTGAATATTTCACCTTTAGGCAAGGCAAGGCAAGGCAAGGCAAGGCAAGGCAAGGCAAGTTTATTTATATAGCACAATTCATACACAAGGCAATTCAAAGTGCTGAACAAAACAAGAAAGCATTAAAATCATAAATAATCACAGAACATTAAAAAGAAAGATACAAATATAAAATCCCTCAGTTGTATGCACAGCTAAACAGAACTGTCTTTAACCTGGCTTTAAACATTGTCAGAGAGGAGGCCTGTCTCACATCTCCAGGAAGACTGTTCCAGATTTTAGCAGCATGAATCTGAAAAGCAGCCTCCCCATGTTTAGTTCTGACTCTGGGCACTAACAGGAGTCCAGTCCCTGTGCTCCTCAGAGTCCGGGCTGGTTCATATGGGACTAACATGTCACTAATATATTTTGGTGCGAGGCCATGGAGAGACTTGTACACAAGCAGAGCTGTTTTAAAGTCTATTCTCTGAGCCACAGGAAGCCAGTGCAGAGACCTGAGGACTGGACTAATGTGGTCGTACTTCCTGGTTCTTGTCAGGACTCGAGCTGCTGCATTTTGAATGTACTGCAGCTGTTTTACAGCCTGTTTGGACAGACCTGTGAGCAGGCCATTGCAGTAGTCTAACCTACTGGAGACAAATGCATGGATAAGAATCTCCAAGTCTGCTTTAGACACTATGTTTTTGATCCTGGCAATGTTTTTTAGATGGTAAAAAGCTGCTGATGTTACTGATTTGATGTGGCTATTAAAATTTAAGTCTGAGTCCAGTATTACCCCTAGATTTCTGACCTTGTTTGAAGGTTTTAGGGAGAGAGACTGTAGGTGACAGATGACGCTCTCTCTTTGTTTCTGGGGACCAAAGACAATCATTTCAGTTTTGTCTGTGTTTAGCTGAAGGAAGTTGTTTTGCATCCACTCACTGATCTGTTGGATACAGTGAAGGAGTGAGTCCACTGGTCCATGTTCTCCTGCAGTCAGTGAGACATAGATCTGAGTGTCGTCTGCATAGTTATGATAGGAAACTTCGTTTCTGCGTATTAACTGACCTAACGGCAGCATGTAGAGATTGAACAGAAGAGGTCCCAGGATCGACCCCTGTGGTACTCCACAGGTCAGGGCCATATGATCTGAGACACAGTTTCCAATCTCCACAAAGTACTTCCTGTCCTCAAGGTAAGACCTAAACCAACTTAGGGCGGTGCCAGCGACTCCAACCCAGTCCTCTAGTCTCTGTAAGAGGATCTCATGGTCGACGGTGTCAAAGGCAGCACTTAGATCTAACAAGATTAAGATTGAGACTTTGCCTGCGTCAGTGTTCAGCCGGATATCGTTTGTAACCTTGACGAGAGCAGTCTCAGTGCTGTGGTGGGGTCTAAAGCCGGACTGAAACATATCAAATGAGTTGTTGATTATAAGAAATCTAGTAAGCTGTAGGTAGACAACTTTTTCAAGGACTTTCCCCATAAATGGCAGATTTGAGATGGGACGATAGTTGTTAAGTACCGTAGCATCGAGACTGCTCTTTTTTAGCAGGGGCCTGATGACTGCAGTTTTCAGGGCCTTTGGGAATATTCCAGAATGAAGGGACATGTTTACTATCTGTGTGAGTGAAGGTAACAGACTGCTCAGAACAGACTTCAGAAATCTAGTGGGTAGTACATCCAAGCTGCATGTGGAGGAGCTCAAACTGGAGATTATCTCTTGGACAGTTTTATCATTTACAGGTGCAAAGTGAGTTAGCTCAGAGAGCCTTTCTGGCTGTTGGATGGTTATCTGTGGATTGGAGACAATGGCGTTTTTGATGCCTTGAACCTTGTCATTGAAAAAATTTGCAAACTCATTGCATTTACGTTTGGAAGTAAGCTCTAATGGCATTTGAACAGGGGGGTTTGTTAATCTATTAACTGTTGAAAACAGAACACGCAGATTGTTGCTGCAGCCTTCAATCATTTCAGAAAAATACCTTTCTCTCGTACTACGTAGCACCCGGTTAAACTCGCACAACTTATCTTTGAAGATCTCGTAATCAACCTGGAGGTTGGACTTGCGCCACTTCCGCTCGGCCCTCCGGCACTTTCTCTTTTGTGCCCTGACCGAGTCTGCTTTAGCCCACGGCGCCTTCTGCTTATTTTTCACTATTTTAACCTTCACAGGGGCAACGGTATCCAGAACAGAACAGAATCCTTTAAAATAAACTTGATATAAAAGAAATATCAAAGAGGAACATTTATCAAAAAGCTGCCCTCAACATTCAGTATAACAAAAAGAAAAGAGCTGGTACATAAATGAATGACCACAAAAAGAAAGTACTTAAACAGTGTGTGAACTCTGTAAATGTAAACTCCCCAATATTTAACAAATCCGATAATATCCGATCCTTACAAAATACCCATATCGGCCCCCAATACCGATACTGAATATCGGATCGGTACATCCCTATCTCTCATGGTTTCAGGCTAATCTCAAACATTGTAGGATAAATTAGAACCAGTTTGAACTCCAAACACACAAATGCATTATAGACAGAAAAAAGCCATACAAAGGATTTCATATGGTTTCCTCACATCACTTTAAAAAAATGAATGAATAATTACAATTCAGCGAAAAGCCTCAGACTGATCATAACTGTCTGATTGGTTTATAATTGGAATGACATTTACAATACTTGCACAACAAAGCAACACCTGAAGTAGACCCACTCACGGTTACAATTCTTGTGGACCTCAGTTAATTTGAGAAAACTATTATTTAGTGAAATTTTTGCAGGTACAATAACATACTTGAGTGCAAAGGTGCTGAACTGGTCTTGATTCAATACTTGAAAATCATGTTGGAAACAGGTTAATGCTACTGTCCACCAGTCCCTCACAGAATCAGTTTAAAGGGTGTAATCTTATTTTCTATTCTAGCTGTATGTGGTCTCGGCTATTTCATGTATTTATATGTTTTAAAGAAATTCACCAATAATTTGAACAACACTATAAACAACTCAGAGTCAAAATAATGTTGTTTGAGTTGTACAAACTATTATTGTATTGGGGCACTCCTGTCCTGGACGTGTGTGTGTGGGAAAATGGTTGTAAGATGTGCGGAAATCGAATAGTTAGATCAATATAGCAAGGATTTGAATTCATTTGGTCCAATCCTGATGCTGCGGGGGTGAGCATTACCGGTCCTTGCCTTTCAATATGTTCTGTCTCGCTTCAGAAATTTGGTGACGGTCATTCACTTTATACAGTCACACTTGTTTCCATTTTATACCACAATATCTTGGATGCTGAAGATAGTCACATGAATATCTAAATTAGAAAATACAAATATCCCAAATGAGTATTTCTCAATGAATAAAACTGTCAGAAGAACTGAGAGAGTAACAAACTGGACATGCATCTGAGTGCGTGGGCGGAGAGGATTGGCATGAGGGCAGAGCCATGTGTGTTTCTATGTGGGCTTCCTGACTCCCGGCCTGCATACAGATGGCTGTGTCTCACTTCTGATCAGTGGGGACACAAACTCTAGTCCGTCTGGCCAGAGAGACAAAACACACTACAGACTCTTTTCGGTATTGAATTAGCCGAGTTACAAATCTATTTATAATCCTGTAAGTGAAATCAGCATAATAATGTTTTAAAATGTAATTCAGTAAGTGTGTCAAGCTGCGTTGGGGAAGAGGCTCTGGCAGGTGTCATTGCCGCAGGGTGCTTGCTCACTGTGAGGGAAGGACGACTGGCACAAGCACCTGACTGTGAGCCACACATGAGGCCCTGTCAGTGTAAATAAGATATCAGGATTACCATGGAGAGCATGTCGGCCTGCGTGTGGGGGTCAACCTCTGCACCATGTTGCAACAGGATCCAAACATGTACTTTTAATCCAACACAGGAATTATTACATACTTTTACAGATTTGTCCATGAAATACGCTGCAGTTTGGTCTCTTGGTTACATATTATGAATATTACTTTATTGCACACAGTTTCACTTCTCTTCGTGTAGTCAATGTGTGGAGGTGGGAGCAAGGACTGGGATAATTATCGTGTTTCTCCATGAGGTCAAAGCTCATATGCAGCAGTGATACAGGTAGCGGGGGATGTTATGTGAGAATATGGTTGGAGACTATAGCTAGGTGAGTATAATTACAAATAGGATCTTTTGTACAGATTGTTTCTTGAATATGCTTCTCACCCTCTTCATGGTGCCCTACTGAATCCATTTCACATATATTTCACCATTGAAATAATAGGGTTATGCCAACAGATTATACTGTAGGTCAGATCCATATAGCGGCTAAATTAACTAAATTTACATATGAGGCAATTCATGCAAAATTAACCAATAACAGGTCATAACAATACAAGATGGAGGTGCAGCAGGTGATGAACAGAGTATGTAACACAATATGGCACAACACACTAAAGAAATACAACTTATCAACATCATATATTCAAACCACTCACCATGAGCCATTCATAGCACATATATAAATAGTATTTCTTGTCATAATAGTGATATCGGATTGTTTTGTGAATTCCTACCTCTGCAATAGGGCAGGGGGAAGTCCCAGGCTGCGTTTCCGGCAGAGGTGGCGAGGCAGGAGAGAGTGGTGTGACCCTCCAGCACATAGCCAGGGCTGCAGCTGTAGCGGATTTTGTCACCGATGTTGAACGTAGACCCCTGCTGGTGGCCGTTCTGCAGCTGTCCAGGATTACCACAAGTGTAACTGGGCAGCGCTACAAAGAAACAAAACATGCAGAGATTTTAACTGTGGAAGTACCAACAAAGCACAAGAATTACAGCTGCTATTTCAACCAGCATGATGACAAATTTAGGGCCTATTCTTTAGTGTCATTTCAAACCGTTTAAATACATTTACTCAATGTTTTACACACTATAACAATACCATTAACAATAACAACATCAGCCAACATAATGAGGCCCAAAAAAATAGTTAAATTAAATCGAGTGTGCCAACTTGTACAAATGCGCACACATGTGGCAGTGTTCCTGGGCCAAATGGCACAGTCCCACAGTGAGGGTCTGGACAGAACATGAGCTGGACTCTGGATGGAACTCAGTCTCCACAGGAGCTGGACGGGGTTTTGGAGAGGACACCAAACCTCTTATATACACACTAACACACTGTGCACATCTCTGCCTCTCTGCCAGGTGCAGAGTTTCACTGTCAGGACCAGATGGGGAAGTAACTAAACACTGATTATGAGGAAGTTTAGTTCATGGTTTCTTTGTAGTGCTTTATAGACAACTTTTACTATGTGAGAAAAGGACTAATTATGTTCTGTAGAAATAGCTCTGTTTATATCTATATAAAGACTTTCTGTATGGCAAAGAAATAAACAATAAAATCAACTGTGAATAACAACTTAATTATAACTGTATACAGTACGTGCAATATGCTTGTAAGTTCAAATCACCTCAAGTGCAACTTTTTAAAACTTTTTTTTTTTCAAAGGCAGAATTTTCTGGATGGCCATAACCATTGCTTACCATAGCAACCATATTCACTATCAACAAAGTTTGCAGTTTCTGCAAATATACCAAAAATATATCTGCTATATTTGTTTGCATAACCACTACTAAGCAGGGACAAAATTAAACCAAGGACAGCTTCCTTCCAGATAAAATACTCTTTTTAAAATGTTGGACATACTGTAGGTTGAAGGCGAAAAACAGATTTCATAAAAATGAATGTTCCTTAAATCAATGTCACAAAGAGCACCCTAAGGAGTCACTGTGCATGAAGGATGCATGTCTGCTAATATCCCTGACTGTCCCACAACTGCTTACACTTTTAAACATTTAGTATACAGGATTTAGCATCTTGAAGGACTCTTGGGTTAAATCCGTTAAAGGCAGACTAACTTGTCACTTTTCAGCTCCACTGTGCTGCAACCTTTATTTTTTCGGACAAGGCCGTCTTATTACAGCCCTCTTCCATCAAATTATGAATACCATCTACACAAGGGCTGCACTAGTATATGAATCGCTAGGAGAGATCTAGTGTTTGCAATTGTGGAGACAAGTCAAACATTTCACTTACAGCTTGAACACCAGTAAATGTGTATAATTTCAAATGATAAATATGCATCTTGGTGTTGTTTTACACTCACACCAGAAAGAATACAAAAAATTTGTTCCAGGAGCACTGTAGACACAACCCTGATCAAAAGTAACCATTCTTCACTCTTACAGCCACTGGGTCACTCCAGGGTCAAATACAAAAAAGGTCACATAGGTTTTTACAAACGAACTAGGCCAAGTGGCCCGGATCGTCGCCATAGGGGTATGAAAACGGCCCGCGGTCACATGAACGTGTTTTTGCAAACGTGCCAGAGTAACTGTGCTGTAGTACAACACTCGGTCCAGCTGGTGGCTTTTATACTAATTCCAGCGACAACCTCATTGTCCTGGTTGAGTTTCCGTTTCTCTCGCTGTTTACATTCTGCTACTAACAGCTCGAGTAAGGATTGCATTGTTTAGGGAAAGACACATCTCACACTTGTCCACAATACTCAAATGCAAAGTGCAGCAGTTCAGTGGGTAACATGTATGTGTGCGCGTCACGGACACGAGTGCACACACACACACTCTTCAGTAACGAGCGTAAGAGCGCTGAGAAATTAATGAATAAGATTGAAAGAATGAAAAGTGTGGCGTACGAGCAGAGCGACCGGAGACGGGCAGGATACAAGTGTGTGTTGGTGTGTTCAGATGGTTAAATAAAGACTGATTCTTGAATGTCTTAAGTATTATTGCAATAGCACCACATTGAGAGCGAGGGTCAGAACTAGGGATGTAAATCGTTGACCATTTAACCGGTGGTTGACCGTCACAGTGTTAACTGGTCAAAGCTGTCGTTTACAAAAAAGAAAAGGGGAGAGGGGACATCTCTTAATAACGCTATTTTAGGCCTAGTTGCACGATGTGACGATCGTGCAAATAGGCCTAAAATAGGCCTCCGGTCAAACCACATGAAACATGTTTGTGCTGCTGGTCCTTGGCATCAGATCAGCTCCACATATATTACTTGTATTTAAACTTTAGATGAGACCTGCGAGACGCGGCTCGTCACTCGCTGCTCTGACCATGTTAACCCGCAGCACAGAAGAATGGGAAGATTAAAAAGCAGTTCTCTGTGCGCAAAGGTGCCGAAGTTGTTGCGGGTTTTGGTACCGCTGTCTCGGCTCTGATCCAGTAGAATGCAGAGCTGCACCTATGATAAGTACACGGCTCGAAATGGCTGTTATTTCAAAGAACGTGAAATATTTTACACTACGCGGTTAACCAGTTTCAACCGGTTAATGAGGCTTGGTGGTCAGTCATGAAAATTCATAGTTTTTTACATCCCTAGTCAGAACAGAGGGAGTTATTCCCGTAGGAAACGCCTTTCATTGGCCCTGGAGCGACACACCTCCCTGCGCCCCTCGACCACGGTCCAGGGGCTTATATGAAAGGAGAAGCGGAGAATACGAAAGTGCACGAAGGGACGTGTGTGAAAATGCCCGTCACAACGGAAGACGTAATGTGACGCACAATATCAAGTCCCCACCACACCTCATCCCCCACTCCCCACCACCCGCCACACTGACCCTCATCTGGGCTCTACAAAGCAGGCCCTGGCCCAAGTCTTCAAGCGTGCCAGGGCGCTGTTGGGGCTATCGTGCCCAAGCCCACTTGCCGCGGTCCCATAGCACCTAGAGCTCGGATCTAGTGCCCTGGCCCACTTAAAACCACGCTTTAGGCTGTGCATGTGACCGCAGCCTTAGTCTCGTATTATCTTTTTTTTTTAATTAACTGAAATGTGAGACTAAACCAAAAATCTCTATCTCATGTCTATGTTTATGAGTCACATATCAAACAACAGCTCCCAAACTCAAAATGTATTGGCTATGTTGCTATGTGCTGCTATGGAAACAGAAATCTCACATCTCAGCACACACAACAACCCTGTACTTACCCCTTTTTATTAGAATAAACATATAATCTCAACAGTCTCCCAGAGGGACTTTGGCGTATGTGTAGAAATGTCGCACGCATAGCATTCCTGGCACTGACTTCTTATATGCACGCTTATATGGATGAAACTATAAATTAATACTATTAGTGACACCAGCAATTTCCACCATGGCAAGTTAAAATGTGTGAGGTACGGGGCTGAGAAATGCTAAAAGATGAAGGATATGTGATTGTGGCGGAGAGATGAGTCGGGTGACTGATTCCACTGCATTAAAAGTGATAGAGGGCACTGCACTGTCAGGATGGAGGGGTGGAGTGTGTACAGTACTGTATGTATGTGCTAGTATGTACTCTGCAAGAAGTGTGTGTGTGTGTGTGGGGGGGGGGGGGGGGGGGGGGGTATTAGTTTGGGCAGTAAATTAAGTCCAATAGTACCATAACCGATGCAATCCCTCGAACGTGGATCTGCCTGGAGCACTGAACTGACAAATACCTTTTTAAACTCCACTGAGGATCAGCAATTTGGACGTTTTATGACTTTTATGTAAAAATCAACGGTAATAAAATCTCAAAGACAAAAATGTAATAATATGTGCAGTTGAGTTTAAGACATAAAAATGCCTTGTTAATGCTGTTTCCATCCAAATTTTATGTCACACTATAATGTATTTTGATTTCACAAGTTAAAGGACAACTCACCCTCAAATCCACTTTTTTTTGCTAGGTATAAATGAGGGTCCAATAGTGCCGTGTACATATCTTGGTCATAATTTTGTCACTTTAGTGCAAATTAGTTGAAAGATCAACTTTCTGCCTAAAATTGTCAGTGAGGCGCCATCTGCAGGCGACCTGTATTTACTACATTTGAATTTTGAATCTGGTGCCAACATTGGCACAGCAGTGATACCTCACATCTTCAGTGACACTTGACGTCTGCAGTGAAGGCCCAGTCTCGTTCACGCCCCCCTAGCGAAGGAGGGAAGGAATAGCAGAGCATTTTCATCGATTGTCATGTTTGCGATTAGGTATAGCATTTAGGTAGGTTTTTATTAGCATAGCTGTTTGTATTATTGATTATTGTGTAGTGTTAATAGCGTTGTTGTTGAATATTGTAGTTTTAATCACTATTGCTTTTATTGTCAAGTGTCAATCACAGCCTAGACCCGCCCAACATTCACCCCCCCGCCAGACCCCTTTAGTCCTCCAGGCTACGCCCATTTGGAGGAAGATTTGAACAGGAAATGTGAGTGACGGTTTCCTCGAGGAGCAGGGGTGAGACAAAGGGAAAGAAGGAAGGCAAGGAAAATAGCTCATCTGATTATAAAGCTTTTTTTTTTGTATTTGAACATAATAAACATTTTTCCATTTTCATAATAAGATGAATTTTATCTTTTTTTTATTCTGTTCCAAACACTGTGTGTCAGAATAGGCAGGAACAAGTCAAAAGAATGTACTGTTTACACGGAGACGCTGTGACAGTAATACGATAGATGGGTATCGGATTGGCCTTGTGTTTGTTTCAGCGGGGTGAAAATGCTAGCGTTGAGAAACGGCCTCCAGAGTGGAACTGAACAGATACGCTGCGTGACGTAGTATCTTCAGAGCAGTGTGAAGAAAAAGGTGGGAATTCTCTGCCTCGATGACCTCAGCACTTCTCCGCACGTACATTTGGACATGCACATTTTTGCTGCTACTGTTAAATGCAGAACGATGTTGGTGCATCCTCCCAATGCTTTGTGGTGTTGTTGAGGAAGTA